AAAGTCGGATTCTTGCCTACAAAGCATTATAAAATGTTGACATAAAGATTATTTATGTATCAAAATAGCCACTTGGAAAGAGTTTGGGTGTATTATGGTTTACTGATTAACAATTGATGAGTTTTTGTCAGATAAAATCATGGAGATGATAGATTAGTTGGTAAATGACTGCTCAAAGTTGTTTTATACTTTATCAGTGACCAAATGATCACAGAGAGCCAGGATGACCAGGGGGACATGTTGTACTTTGTGACAAGTGGCAAATAGCCATGTTGTATAGCCATGCAAGTGGTGAGTACTTATAACAAGTATTACCAAGTTGTTTGCGTGGGCACTGGAAGTAATGTAAATATTGAGTAATGTACATGCACATACTCAATATTTACATTAAATTCCAGTGCCCGTGGTTGTTTGTATACCCAAGAGGCAAGTGTTGGTACCAAGTGTTACCAAGTGGCAAGCAGCTGAGTTGTTTGTGAATTTAAGCCATTTTGAAGAGGCATCACCTCGAGTAAAAATACAGGCATTAGAGATTTCTCTTTGTGTACTTATTGTAGCACTAGGCAAGTGACAAAAACATATATCTATATATTAAATACCTTACACACTAGGCAAGTGTCCATTGTGTTTGTATACTTTGCATTCATTATCATCCTCGTAAGATTTGGGCAAACCAAGTACGATCCCAAGGGGATCGCTCAGGTCTCACATGTTACAATAAACAAGAGTATTTTTACCAGATTTTTAGCTCACCTCAACGAAGTTAGGGGGAGCTTATATAATACCTTCGAAGTCGGTTTTCTGTGTCAGAGTCAGCTTGGCATCGACGTTCCAGGTTAAAGTTTTCAGAGCAAATTTCTTTTCAAGTACTTCTATGCCCTATATTGATCAGAGATGCATGGAGGATATTTCTTGTTTCTTAATTGTTTCGGAATTTCATAAATATTATGGATTCTGTAGAGGACTACGCCAGGCGATGGACCAGACATGAAAAAGACCTTGACACTTTGTCAGAATGGATTAAATGTATCAGATGTATGTTAAAATCGCGCATTAAGAGATTGGGGGGGGGGGGCAATATGAGAACCATCTATCCTTCTGTATTCAATAATCCAGAAGTGAAAAAAAAATTAGATAGATTATATGATCAGTATGTACTGGTCCCTGCTGACAAAGCAGGTAACAGCATTGTCTTTGTTTGTAAGGCTCACTATATATTAAATGTATTTTAGAGGACATTGGATTTAATTCTACAAGTGGTAATCCTACTTATACTCATAGCTCCCTTTCTGAGGAAGAAATTCTTCAAAAGCATATGTCAGTTTTGAATATTTTTAATATTCCAAACAACCAATATGAATTTGAATAACCATATTTATATTGGATTCCGAAACTTCATGAAAATCCTTACAAACAAAGATACATAGCGGGTTCCAGTAAATGTTCAACCAAGCCTCTTTCTTTACTCTTCACTAAGATATTAACAGTAGTGAAGTAGAAACTTCAAGAGTACTGTGCAACAATATATTCGAGAAGTGGTGTAAATCATATGTGGATACTTAAAAATTTCAAGGAACTTTTGGAAAATTTGAAATCACAAGATTTTACCAAAATCAACAGCTTAAAAACTTACGACTTTTCAACTTTATACACAACCATTCCCCACGATAAATCAAAAGTCCAGGCTTTTTGATATCATTGATGTGATAGGGTGATTTATTTCATATATTAATTATTATATTTCAGGATAAAAATTAATTCAGTTAAATTGCCATATTTATTTCTTTACAGCATTTCATTTACTGAATAAATCCACATGGAATTATTTACATCAATCTGTGTTTATTGAGTTATTTATAGATGTATGACATCACAGTGGTCATTTAAACCCCTGTCCCTTTTCTATATAATTTATATCTTGTGTAGTGTCCAGGCCAACTTGGATTTCATTGGTTGGTTAGTTTCCCTCTCTTTTGGTTTTTACTTTGTTAATTACTTTTGTTTGAGATCTTGGTCTGAGCAGACATATTGGCTTTTTGATATTATATGACTTATTTATGACAATGACCAAGACAGGACAGAATGTAAGTTTACTTTTACTGATTTCATTATTTCTATATAATTGTTTATCTGGTAAATTCCCAAATAATAATATTCTAATATAAAGTATGAAAGTTCAGCTTGTGTGATTATTTTATGACTTTGTAAATATTCTGATTAATAAGTATATTTTATATCTGTGAGAATAAGTGTGTAATATAGTAAAGTTATATTTATATTATTCATACACAGATCACTGAATAGAGTACAGCTGTGTTCAGCTTTGTATGTTATGCGAGTTTGCGAGTTGTGGCTCTATATCACATATAGGTATGATGTAAATATATTTTGAATATTGTCTATATAATTATATTATTCTGGAAGAGTTCAGTATAATTTGATCTCATTGTTTTATCTATATATTCCAGTGTTTATACTTTGTACATATTATTGATTAAGAAAGATAACTCTTAATGTTTTATCTATGAGCACAATTAAAGGGAAATAACTCTTCATTTGACCGTGCTATCTGGCAAGTGATCTACATGTATGCTTTGTTATAAAATATTTATGATTGTTTATATATATTTCAGAGCTGTGATACTACTGGTAATACTGATTATTCTGAGATTGAATATATTTATCCACAAGGACAGCATGGTGTTTGTCATTATTTTCCTTTAAACGAACCCCATTTCATTGACAGCTGCTTTTTCAATAAAAATGGAACTTGTAAATTTACTTACCTTGTCATTAGTCATTTGCAAAATTATTTTGTTAAAAAACATTCTGATTGTACACACAAGTACTCCGAAGTTGACATTAAAAAGATGCTTGAGTTTCTGATTGACAATATCTATGTGGTTTTTGGAGACCAGGTCTTCCAACAATCTATTGGAATTCCCATGGGTACCCATTATTCTACGTTATTAGCAGACCTATATTTTTGTATTCATATGAAGCAGAATTTGTCCAAAATTTTGTACGTGAAAAGAAGAAAACACTTGCTGTGGCCTTCAACTCGACATTTAGATATATCGACGACGTATTGTCAATTAACAATGGCTATTTCCATTCTTATGTCGATACGATATATCCTGGTGAGCTTGAGATAAAAGATGCCACGGAGTATGATTCATCTGTTTCATGTTTGGATATTTCACTTGAAAAAGACGTTAATGGTAATCTAATAACCAAGCTTTATGATAAACGTGATGACTTTAACTTTTCAATCATCAACTTCCCTTACTTATGCAGCAGTATACCTTCATCACCTGCATACGGGGTATATATCTCTCAGTTGATTCGATACGCAAGAGCATGCTCTACGTATGTACAATTTCTAAAATGAGGTAAATCATTGACAAACAAGTTGATGAAACAAGAATATCACCTGTCTCGTTTAAAGTCATCATTTCTTAAGTTCTATGGTCGATACAATGACCTTGTCAGCAAAAACAATTTATCATTGAGTCAAATGCTGACTGACGTTTTTCATACTAATTGTTAGGCCATTATTTACACACTGAATTGTTGACGGATTTTCCCATTTATTTCCTGATCATGACAAGGAGCACACGGCGGGTGTGACCAGTCGGCAGGCACTTGATCCCACCTCTGATGTTTTGGAGGTCCGTGTTTGCTCTGTTTAATGGACTTTTGAGCTTGAATACTGTTCGTAATCTCCATATATTTCATTGTACAAGATAAGGTTTCAGATACTGCAATTTGAGCTTAAGAATGACCAGATTAATGTTTTTGGAGAAGGTTAAAGTTTTTGGAGCACTCCTTATTTCCAAGTAACTATAAGCCTTATATTGACCAAACTTGCATGGATGATGCATCTAAGGATGCAATCAATACAAAAAAGGATGCACACGCTTGCTTCAGATGCTGGATCTGACCTACATTTTCCAGATGAGAGACCAGTTTAAAGTTTTTGGAGCAGGTCCATTACCAAGAAATTATAGGGGCAATCTGAACTAAACTTACATGGATGATGCATCATGGAATGAACACTCTCAAACTTGCTTCAGATGCTGGATTTGACTTACATTTTCTGGATGAGTAACTAGTTTCAAATTTCTAGTTATTAATAAGTAAATTCCCAAGTAACTGCATGCCCTATCAGACCAAAATTGCATAAATGTTACATGTAGGGATGCACATTACTAGATTATAAGTTTAGTATGGGACTTTGCCTTACTTAAAGACAACATTCGTTGAGGTGAGCTCTGTAATCTCTGATTACCTATGTTTCTTTCAGTTAATTTTGCTTTATACTTTTATGGATCATTTACAGTGTTGTATTTACTCAGGTGACCTTTAAGGCCCTTGGGCCTCTAGTTTGAATTACTTATTGATTAATAATTTATATTTTTACATGTTTTCAAGGTATGTTCACACATGATTCAAACTCTCTCCAAAGCTTACGGTTACACGTAATACAGAACACGTTAATCACTATGCCACAAAGTCTTCTTGTCATTGGTGTGTCAGTGTGATTTGAATAAACAAGTTTGTTGAAGTGTAATTATTTTTCAGAAATGTTCGACTTTCATATAGAATGGGCTCAGACTCCATTATTTGCACACATAAAATAAATTTTACATTTATTTTTTCTGTCATTTGAACATTAACTTGACCCATTCATATTCAAAAATCACTTTTTATGGCCTCAATAAACCCATTTTCCTCTAAGATATGCTTTACTGGCAACTATAAAAACAAATTATCAACCAATACGTCAATGATTAAAATAAATGAATCATAACTCATAAGTGTTGAAGATGCCATATTACTGAAAACATAATTTTAGAAAAATATAACTTTTCAATGTAATTTTGAAAATTGAGAATTATATTTTCTCAGAGCTGGAGATTGTCCTTGCCTTGCATGCCCTCTTTCTTTTTCTGAACTTCTTAAATGAGTTTAATTCAACATGTTCAAGCATATTAAATTTAATGAACTTTAGATATTTCATTTGATTTCCAAGATTTCTGGCATGTTTTATCAAATATCCCAGAACAATAGTTTCTCTGTTTCAGTAAACATTTCCTACAAAACAGGTGCCCACAGGGGGCTTTATACATAGAATCACATTGCTCATTGCAGCTACTGCAGTTGTTTTCAATCAACTTCTGAGAATGGTCAGCCACATTAGAGGGTCCTGCTTTTTCCTGAGACATGTTCACTGTTTTTGTAAAGGATGGTAGCTGACTGAGAATGTCACTGAAAGCAGAGTTTATGCTCTCTTTTAATTCCTCATCATGAAATTTTATCTTTGTTAATTCTTTGCCTGTAATTGATATCTTCTCATCTTTTGTCAGGTCTATCACACAGTTTGCTGTATTATTAACAAGAGATGCTGTTGTACTGGTTTCATTTCCAGTTTCCCTAAGTCTTTTGCCTTTGATATCAGAACAAAGATCTGGGTTCTTCCTCTTTCTGGACTCTTCTTTCTTCAGATTATTCCTTTCAGACTCATTTTGCTCAAAATAGGTACTATCTGCTCTCTTTCCAGAATTTTCTACCAGTCTGCTTGTTTCTGGTCCATTTTTCGCATAAACCAAAGAATTATCTGTGTTTCTTCCAAGTGTTCTAGGCACATGCTGAAGTTTATCACTGTTTTCTAGCATAAATTTGTCAATGCGAAGTTTCAGATGAACATTTGGCAATGGTTTGTTCTTGTTGTCATATGGAACCCCTGTAAAGGGGTCACTGGGTAATCTACCCCATGATGCCTCTGCAGAATTGTGTTTCTCCAAAGTTGATTGGTCAATATTTTTCTCACATGGTAACAGGATAGGCACTGACATAATTTCACAGGATATGGCATCAGTAAAATCTTCTGGTATTTCCACTCCACCCTCTAAGTGTGAAGAGCTCCTGGGTAGTTGAACGCTAGTTTGTTCTGTGTAACATCTGTCCTTTTGGTCTTCATCTCGAAGCACTTGTTCACAAGAATTCTGATTGAGAATGTTCCTTTCTTTAAATGGTGGCACTAAATTTGATAATGTACTGGTACAAAATAAATGATTTAATTTTTCTCTAACTGACCTTGGAACTGACCTTGAAGGTTGACCCCAGACTTCGATACTTTTTATAGCAACAGATCTTCCTGCTGCAGTTCTTGTAACCCTTATGTTAAGATCACTCACAAAACTTAATGCTCTGGAATTCCTTCCCCTGAGTTCTACATGGTGTTTATAAGGTGACTTAGGAAATGATCCAACTTGATCTGCAGACAAAGGCTGAAATAATCGGTTTTCAAAGCACACAGTATCTGGGTCTGTTAATTGCACTTTTCCAATAGGTGAAAACACTGCACTGAAAATATATTCATAAGCATTTTTGTCCTTGGGTGAAACTTCAGAGACATGCTCCCACAATGGGCCTGTCTTTACTTGATTACTTTTACTATATACAGTGGTACCTCGGTATATTGCCCTCCGTTATATTGCCACCCTCGCTTATTGCCAGGAATTCTCAAAGAACGGATTTCCCCCTGTGTTAATACACCCGTTATATTGCCACCCCCGCTTATTGCCATCCGCCACTGGTTTTGGGAAACAAAAGGTCAAATTGTGTAAGGAAAACCCTCGGTAACAATGCCAATTATCTAGCGTGTGTTGGTAATTTGGACACCACACCCGTGCTTTGACAGTGGTTGCGGTGAAGCGTGACTGGCTGGACAAGGAATTTAGCTAAATTAAAGATAATCGTTGTATAAAACTCAAAATTAGCAATGTCTTTGGCGTGTGTTTATAAGATAGAAGATAAATATGGAAACGTCAGGCGAGAGAAAGCGTAGATTACAAAAAAACAGATTGATCAACATTCGATCTATTTGATTGTAAATTGCCGATTATTGCTTATCATGGATAATGTACAAAACCATAATAAATGCAAAAATTAATTTATATCCCCTATCCCCTTAGATTAAGAGGCCATTCTATCGATCAAAAAGGAAACCCCATACCTATTTTTAGACTACTATAGTTCCGCGCGTGAAAATATTAGGGATTCCGTTAGGCTTGAAATTTTCTTAAATTGTCGGACATATATCGGTTTGATTGATAAATATCAAAACAGAATTGGAAGAGAAGTACACCTCAGGTACTAGCAAACATGAGAATGCATGTTTATTATAACGGGTTGACGTACTCTGACATGCGACTTACCATTCGTCAGTCATGATGCTTTACCAACCGAACTTTTTAACTGATTCAGAAATTCTTGAGACGGTGAAATAATCTACTTTCGATTCAGATGAAATTAATAATAATTTTCAAAACCCTTTTTTATACCAAGAGGCCATAACGGCCACTGACATCTTTGTCATCCGGTTATCAAATTCTTAGAGCATGACACAGGAAATTGATGTGTTCAATATTCTAGTATTTTATTTCGATCTTTTCCGTCAAAACATTGTAAACAAAGGGAAAAAAAAACAATAATAATGACATTTTTCCCCAAAAAGAAATGAGAGCTGTCCCTATACACATGTGGCATAAATAGATTGTAACTGAAATAAATTACGTAATAAATTTATTTTGTTTTGATAACCAACTGAATTGTAATTTATGGCAGAATTCGTTATATTGCCACCCTCGCTTTAATGCCAAAATCTGTCTTGGACAAAAGTTGGCAATATACCGAGGTAGCACTGTATTTCTAATCCAGATGACTTTTGGGCACTCACACACGGATTTATAATAATATTTTTTATCTCAATGTTACATGGAAATGACAGAGTAATGGTTACTGGGGGTTTGATGAAATATTCTCCCAGGAATCCCTTCTGTCTATTAGATAAGTCTCCAGAGATTAAATTTTTTACATCATATCCATCCACAGATACTTTATCACAGCTTATTTTTGGATAAAGACGACTGTCACAGAAATTAAGAAGCATGGCCAGAGCAATTTCTTATCAATCAGCAGCTCGTTTACCTCAAAGATTTTCTGAAAGAAAAAAAATTATGTTAAAAACTAAACATACAATCAATTTCAATGAAATTTACATTGTTAACTTCATAACTATGGTTTGCTAGGGTGAAACTCAAAGACCAATACAGGAACATTAACAAATTTTAGACACTCTTAAAACTTTTTTATACAAAAGAACGTTTGCCTTAAGCAGAACCTTAATCAGTAAATGACTTTCCTAACCCAACACGCTTGAGAGGTCAGTCAGATCACACAACAAATACGCATTCGACTGTTCGAATTTCACCCCCTCCCCCCCCCCCCAAAAAAAAAAAAGAGAGAGAGAGAGAACAGGATGCTTACTCCCAAAGGGCATAGAATGCCCTGTTATGTATTTCCAACTAGATACATAAATAACGAATCTCTGCTCCATCTTTCAAGTTCCAAACACTTATTAACAGACTTGCAGAGATCAGAGTGTCAAATTATAACCGGAAATCAAAGGTGCTGAGTAAAATAAAAATGATTCAAGGTTAAGAAAAAAACTAGTTGAGCAAGTCCAGAAAAATAAATCCAATAATCTAGCATGAAGTATTGTATATATTTCATAATTATTATATACCCACTAAACAGCTAAAGACATCATAGAACCTATTTTTTTAGTATGTCAATCTACGAATATTCATGATGATTCATTTTCGGCTATTAGCCCTACCTTCCGGAATAAAAGTTGATAGCTGCATGTCAACAGCCTCAGAACAGCTGGACAAGCCTGATGCAACGCCGAATGCAATGATATTGTCGGAAAAAAGATCAACAACATGACAAACTTACAGAGATTGCATTTTATATTGGGGAGATGTATTTTTCGTGGAAGAAACTCAAGGGAAGTTGAAAGACTGCGCATTAAATGCAGGACTTATTTTCATTCTCAGGGAGCTGGACCAGCAAAAACACCCAAGGACAGACTGTCTGCTAGAAATTTGACATACAAATATTTATCAGCTTCATTGCTATCAATTTGTGCCACATATTATTTATTTAGAAAATATGAAGATAGTGAAGAGTTGACTAATTACTGGAATGACCTCAAAACTGCATTTAAAAATGCGTATGTAGTGAGAGCAGATGGTCCTAGTGGAGGGATGAGGTCCCAGTTTAATTTTATTGCAGACATTGTGGAGCAAGCTCAACCTGCTGTTGTCTTCATTGAAGTTGTCAAAGGAAGGGGTTTTCGGTAAATGATTCATGGAATTCAGGAAGGGTGGGGGGGGGGGGTGAACTAAGACAGTTTATCAAATATATTACCTTTGATTGCAATCAATTCAGTGAGATGCACATGATAGGATATCATAGATAATCCTCATTCCCTTACAATTTTATTTCCAGTTGAAAATTTTCACATTTCCTATTCTTGTTTTGAAAGCTGAACTCAACTTATGAAAAAGAAGAGACTAATTAATTTTGTTAAGACTTGTTTTTAAATTTCAAAGTCAAAATATGTGTTCATCTGTGCAGACTTAGCTTATTGTAAATTTGAAGCAGTTTTCTTTTCCATTTATAGGCAGATGAGTTCCAGTGGCTCTGGTTTTATTGTTCGGTCTGATGGTTTAATCCTGACCAATGCTCATGTTGTGGCAGGTGCTTCCCATGTGCATGTTTACCTTAACGATAACAAGAAAGTTCAGGGAGTAGTGCAGGCTGTGGACCAAGTCTGTGACCTTGCTACAGTCAAAGTTCAAGCGGTATGTAGGTCAAGGTCAAATATGTTCTATGAATGAAATTTGCAAAGCAGAAGAGGTAGATTACTGACTGGTAGATAAAAATGAATTTCTGTGTATTAAAAACTTTCATGTAGGGAGAGTATGGGGTTAAAAATATCCCTAAGTAATGTACTACTGTGGAATCATCATTGTTTATGGGGGACCAATGTTCGTGGATTTTGTGGGCCATCCTTACCCACGAATATAAATCCCAACAATTAAATGTTTTTTTTGTAGACATATTGATACATAGAATCTATCATATAAACATGTAACCCACGGAATTACATCCCCTCAAACAAGTAAATTTTTGCTTGCCTATGAACATTGACCTCCACGAATTAAAATGATTCCACATGCAGTATTGCTTATACAGCTAATATATGTAATTGCCTTTGTGTTTGATTTTATAGCATAATTTTTTTTCCAGAGAAACCTACCCACCCTTCCTCTGGGTAAGAGCACTGCAGTGAGACCGGGGGAGTGGGTCGTGGCCCTGGGGAGTCCTTTTAATCTCCAGAAGACTGTCACTGCAGGGGTTGTCAGTAATCCAGGGAGGGAGACCATGGGGAATCTGACCAAAAGTCCCCCCATGATACAACACGATGCGGTCATCAATGTAAGTCAAAGTGCCCCATGATACATCATGATGCAGTCATCAATGTAAGTCAAAAGTCAAAAGTCCCCTCATGAAACAACATGATGAAATTAAAAGTCCCCCGATGATACAACACAGTGCAGTCATCAATGAAATTCAGATATCCCCCTAAGATATATTGCAGTCATTAATGTAAATCAAAGTCCCCCCCCCCCCCCCCCCATTGATACATTATGATGCAATCGTCAATGTAGATCAAAGTCCCCACCCCCCAAAAAATACAACATATTGCAGTCATTAATGTAAGTCAAAGTCCCCCCATGATACAATGTGATCCAGTCATTAATATAAGTCAAACAAGACACTGAACTATACCCATCATATTGTCAGTGGGGAGTTAGCCATGTAAAACTGTGACCCTCTTCATCAGTCAGGGAGAGGGTTTTAAAAACTACATGCATTTGATATGAGGCATTAAGTTACAATTTCGAATAAATATAGAATTATAAAGTGAATCAATGTGAGTATGTTATTTTGTATTTTAACACTGTATGTCATTCATGAAAGTCAAAAAAAGAAACATGGACAAATTGATCAGAATTACAAGTTTGCCATACAGAATATAGATTTAGTTCATATATGTAGTAACTACAAGTAAACAGATCAGCTTATGCAGGTAAATGTTTAACTGTTCAGTGTTTGTCTAATTTCCTGGCATTCTAATGATTCTTATATTTAATTTTTATAGGTTGGTAATTCTGGTGGCCCACTTATAAATTTGGTATGTATTGAAATTTTGTTATAAGCTTTATTAATACAAACCATACACTGAACTATCTCAAACAGAAGACATTGTGTACAGAGATTTCACGACCTTTGTTTTATAGGATGGTGAAGCTATTGGAATCAACACCATGACCTTGACCTCTGGGATCTCATTTGCTCTACCTGCAGATCTGGCTGTGGACTTCCTAAACAGAGCTAAGAAAAGCAAGTATATCACTGCCCCAGTCTTAGTTGTTTAAGTTGTTTAAGTTTATAATTTTTGTGCCCTGCCATGAATATGGCTGAGACATATAGAGTTTTTCATGTCCATTTTTCATCGTTTTGTCTTTTTAGGTCACCTGAGTTTACACAGGTTACCTATTTCCAATTGTTTTTATCTGTCATCATCCACTGTATGTTAACATTTGAACATTTTCAGCTTCTTCTCAGGAACCACTCAACCAATTTCAACCAATTTTGGCACATAGCATCAATGAGTGAAGGGGAACATAAATTGTGAATTTCATGGTCCTTGTCCCCCCCCCCCTCCACGGGCCTGAGGGGTGGGGCTAAAGGCATATAAATCAGTGGAGTTTTTAAAAATCTTTTTCTTTACTCCTGGACATCAAGCCATCAAACTGTTAGCATGATTGTCATAAGCATTGAGCCCTTTACCAAAATTGTGAAATTCATGGCCACAGGGTCAGGGGTTCTGGTGCTAGAGTGAGGCTTTTTAGGTCACCTGAGTCACTCTATCCCATTTTGTCTGTCGTCGTGCGATGTGCGTTAACATTTGAACATTTTTAACTTCTTCTCTGAAACTGCTCAATCAATTTCAACCAAATTTGGCATATAGCATCTATGGGTGAAGGGGAACATAAATTGTGAATTTCATGGTCCCTGCCCCCCTGGGGCCTGTGGGGTGGGGCTAAAACCACCAAAATTAATACAATCTTTAAAAATCTTCTTCTTTACTCCTGGACATCAAGCAGTCAAACTGTTGGCATGATTGTAATAAGCATTGAGCCCTCTACCAAAATTGTGAAATTCATGGCCCAAGGGTCAGGGGTTCTGGTTTAAGGGCACGCCTCTATTGATTATATAGTGAAAATGCATTAATTCTTTGAAAATCTTCTTCTCTGCTCCTGGGTATAAATAAACTAAGTACATAGTTATGATAAGCAAGAGTGTCTCTTCCAGAATTGTGAATTTCATGGCCCCAGGGTCAGGGGTTCTGATGTTAGGACGCGGCTCTATTGATTATATAGTGAAAATGCATTAATTCTTTGAAAATCTTCTTCTCTGCTCCTGGGTATTAAATAAACTACAGTACATAGTTATGATGAGCAAGGGTGACTCTTCCAAAATTGTGAATTTCATGGCCCCAGGGTCAGGGGTTCTGATGTTAGGGTGGGGCTCTATTGATTATACAGTGAAAATGTATTAATTCTTTGAAAATTTTCTTCTCTGCTCCTGGGTATAAATAAACTAAGTACATAGTTATGATAAGCAAGAGTGTCTCTTCCAGAATTGTGAATTTCATGGCCCCAGGGTCAGGGGTTCTGATGTTAGGACGCGACTCTATTGATTATATAGTGAAAATGCATTAATTCTTTGAAAATCTTTTTCTTTGCTCCTGGGTATTAAATAAATTAACTAAGTACATAGTTATGATGAGCAAGAGTGAATTGTGAATTTCATGGCCCCAGGGTCAGGGGTTCTGGTGTTAGGGCGAGGCTCTATTGATTATATAGTGAAAATGCATTAATTCTTTGAAAATCTTCTTCTCTGCTCCTGGGTATTAAATAAACTACAGTACATAGTTATGATGAGCAAGGGTGACTCTTCCAAAATTGTGAATTTCATGGCCCCAGGGTCAGGGGTTCTGATGTTAGGGTGGGGCTCTATTGATTATACAGTGAAAATGTATTAATTCTTTGAAAATCTTCTATTTTGCCCCTGGGTATTAAGCCAATGAACTAAGTGCATTGTTATGATGAAAAAGGGTGCCTCTTCCCAAATTGTGAAAAATGTGGCCACAGGGTTAGGGATTCAAGGGGGGAGGGGGCTTATTTATCATATAATGAAAATGAATTAATGATTTGAAAATTGTCTCTGGGTATTAAAGAAAGAAACTAAATGTATTGTTATGATGAACAAGGGTGCCTCATCCAAAATTGTGGATTTCGTGACCCCAGTGTCAAAGGTTTTGATGTTAAAGTGGGGCTGTATTAATTATATAGTGAAAATGCATTAATTCTTTAAAATTCTTCTCTTCAGCTCAAGGGTATTAAGCCAATGAACTAAGTGAATGGTTATGATGAGCAAGGATGCCTCTTTAAAAATTGTGAAATATGTGGTATCAGGCTAAAGGGTTCCTTTGGAGTGGGGGCTCTATTCATTATATAGTAGGAATGCATTATTTTCTTGATAGTCCTCTGCTTTGCTTCTGGGTATTAAGTAAATAGACTAAGTGTATAGTTACAATGAAAAAGAGTGCCTCTTTTAAATTTGTGAATTTCATGGCCTCATGTTTAAAAAATAATCCCAATTCAATTGTTGGAAAGTTGTTACATGATACTCAGGTGACCTATTAGGCCCTTGGGCCTCTTATCTTTCTTTCTGTACTTTTGTCCATTCATCTGTCTGTCTGCCACAGTGATACTAATTGTTGAGAGATTTTCAACTTAAATAATCCTTTTGGAGGACTACTCAGTCTTTAGCTGGAGGAAAATATCCATATCTTTATGAAATAAAAGTAAAAAGAGGCCACAACACTCAGCTGAGTAATTTGTCTTTGCTCTTCTTAAGAGGAAAATTTTTAAAAAAATTATGTTTTTATTTATTAGGAGTCCTATGTAAAACTTTGATCCCATGTTGTGGCCACTTGGTCCAGGGTTATATAACATGACCAAACTTGAATATAGACTACTTCAGAATGGTTTTATATTAGTATGACTAATTGTAATATTTTCTCTTGATATATTAATGCATGGAAAATATTGACCTGTATTGTGGGCCCACCTTAACCCCAAGGGCAATAACTTCACAACATGTGATGGTTTAAGTAATATATAGAGTATCTTTTAACGAGTGTATCTTCAGATATCAGACAAGGGGGTTTGTCCCCCGAGTCTGATATCTGAAGATGCATGAGTTAAGAGGTACTCTATATGTTTTGTATCATTGTTCTCAGGTATTAAGTTACCCATGATCTATCAATTTCACGTTAATAGCACCTGATTCAACTATATTCTCATGCACTTGGTTAGCCATGATCTATCAAAATTTCATCATACCATTTTATATAACCAATGAAAAAAGAGCACGTGATTCAAAAAGTAGAGCACTGTATTTCTTGAACTTTCTACCTCGTCCATTCATATTCTGAACGCCATGGATGATGGTTGTGGTTTTATGCTTTCGCAATTCTTATAGACATGGAAACTGAAATTATGAAGGAAAATTCCTTAGATCAGTTAGGAAACAAGATGCATGTTGAAGATTCTTTGGGAAGTATGACGTTTGATCTACCGGAACTAAAATTGAACCTATTATGGATTTCGATATAGGAGATATTTTAGACATGATGGAGACTGTGTTGAGTGCGTTAATTTCACCAATCCTGAGGTCAACACGAAGACGAAAAATGAAAGGTTTGTACAAGTGTCCGTTCATGAAATTCAGCGTTTGATAAACTCTCAAAAATATCCTAACACTCGTAAATATACCAAATGGCAATTTAAACGTTCAAGCTAATCAAGGAGTGGGGTGCGGCACGGGAAAATGTCCACTTTTGACCGAGATGAACAGCGATTCTCTAAATTACTGGATGCAGCGATTTGTGTTGGAATTAGAAAACAAGGAATATCCACCGGGCTCCCTGTACTACATTGTGTTTGGTTTGTTACACTTCAAGTTTATGAAAGACAAAAACATTCATTTATAAAAATGCGCTTGTGTGAATTTCATTTTGGATTTAAAAATTGACTTGCAAAATTTAGAATTTTTTATGTAGACCTAAGGAAAGGTATACCTTCACTATGTTTATATGTGTTTTAACTTTTTATTTTGCTTATAAAGTCAGCTACTTTGTTTATATTCTTTTTCTTTATCAATGTAAGGTCAAGGGTCATTGGAATTGTTGCATCATTACCCTGGCATGTTCTATCTTGATAGAGCATGGTTGTTAGAGCACAATTAGACATGGTGTATCAAAAATAAAAACACAGTGGACATCAAAGGAAAAACACCGCAACAATGATACAAATAAATATGAATACCGGTAATTGTAGCTTTAAGATTGAAGACAAGAGAGATAACTTCTGAGTACATTTAAAGGATGGTCATTCATAATAATTTTAACCTGGTAGTGGTTGCCCGTATGACGCAATGGCTAGTGCATTTGCTCTAGAATCACAGTTTAAGGAATTGATCCTTATGTCACAGATTCGAATCCCACTGAGGGACATGGAGACTAGTCCGGTGGATGAGACCCTATAAACCGAGGTCATGTGTCGCAGTAGGTGCAGGCACGAAAAAAGATCCCTCACTGCTCAATGGCCCTGAGTGCTGAGTATAGGTATAAATTTGCAGCTCTCCACCGACAAGTGGTGATGTCTCAGTATGAGTGAAAAATTGTTGAAAGGAATGTTAAACAAACAAAACCTGGTAGTTACTATGTGTACATCATCCACGGCTAAGTGGTAACAGCAGCCGACTTGTGCTGCATTTAGTTGACTTTGCCGAATTGAATACAGATAACCTTAATGTTTTATATATTGACAATGTTCTTCATTTGTTTACAGTTGAGGGAATGATCTAGATATTGACAACGTTCTTCATTTGTTTACAGTTGAGGGAATAATCTAGATGTTGACAACGTTCTTCATTTGTTTACAGTTGAGGGAATGATCTAGATGTTGACAATGTTCTTCATTTGTTTACAGTTGAGGGAATGATCTAGATATTGACAATGTTCTTCATTTGTTTACAGTTGAGGGAATGATCTAGATGTTGACAATGTTCTTCATTTGTTTACAGTTGAGGGAATGATCTAGATATTTACAATGCTCAACATTTATTTACAGTTGAGGGAAGGTTTCCGTCATCACCTCCCGCTAAGAGGACGTATGTTGGACTTAGTGTTATATCCTTGACCCCTGACCTCCAGATGAACCTTCGAAAGAGAGTGCCAAATTTTCCCACTAATGTGGAGCAGGGCATCTTGATTGTATCTGTAATTTCAGGCTCACCAGCCCAGAGGTATATCTAGGACTCTCTTGTATTGCCTTAATTCACATGATCAAATGAATATAAATATTTAAAAGATGAATATAAGGGCCAGAATTAATCCAGCATGCAGTTCATAACTTGAGGTACACAAGAATTTTATAATAGTAGAATTGAATTTAGTATATATAGTTTAAAATGATATATCATAGACTGCATGTAGATGTAACTGCTTTAAATCATTTGACAAAGTCCTTCAAAGAAAAAAATGTTCTACAGTTACCTACCTCAACAAACCAAGATGTTGTATATTTACAGTGCTGGACTACTGCCAACAGATGTTATAACCCACATTAACAGAAAGCCAGTGACCTCAACCTCAGACTATTTCAAGGCCATTGAGACGGGTCAAGAGCTGACCTTCCAGATAGCACGTGGCAATGCTTCATTCACTGTCACTGTTACACCAGAGGAAGTGGATTGATGTGTTTAAACTTTAAATTTGTTTTATATATGTTTTATACTATTAGATGTGTATTTTTATCAAATTTTAAACATAATGGCATTAAATTATTATTTAGTTCTCAGGGTGTTGTGTTTGCTCTAAATATTAGCTTAACATGGATGTTTAGAAAACATAACAGTGTTCCCTGGATCATGAAGTGCTGTTTAAGAACAAGGCCAAAGGTTAAGGTCGAAACAGATTTTGTGTAAACCCTAATTTAGTTCTCAGGGTGTTGTGTTTGCACTAAATATTAGCTTAACATGGATGTTTAGAAAACATAACCTTCTCAGATAGTATCATTCCAGCTTATGAAATTCATCTTGATATCATCAGGAGACAAACATCCTTAGTACAAGCATTTTGTGAAAATCTTTGAAACACCTTTTCTTTACCCTTGGCCAGATTTGGCTTATACATTTACTTCACCCACAAAGTGCCTTTGGATATAAAAAGATGTACTGTGAGTGTCTTAAAAAGGTCAAAGAGGTATCTGTGTAAAATCCTTGTTTTAAGTATATTTTGATCCTTTCTGCCAATCTGGTGAGTGCTTCACCAATAGTGTGCCTTTGCTTAAAAATGTGCAATGAACTGGAACCAGGATCAAGGTCAGAGGTGAGGCTCAAAGATCTTTTTGAGTATGTATATCAAATATCCTTGGACAAGTTT